CATTTTCCATATTTCTTTGCAGACTTCATCTTTTGAATTTTGAAATTATTCACGCGTTGTACAGGTATTGGCTAAAATATATTTTTCATCAATTTATAGTAGAGCCACAATAACATATTGAGAATGGAAACATAGTGCGGTTTACTTAAAAAGTACGGGTTTCAATTATATTACTTGTATCTAATTTTGTGAAAATTCACCAGCAAACATTTCCAGTATGGGGCCAAAAATGGGCGCGTACTATTTGTTCAAAATGTTTTTGGGAATATGTTCCACAAGTTTTGGAATACTGCTTCTCTCCTATTATCTTAGGATGAATATGCTCAGGCTGACCGACGGACAACGAAAACAAGAAGTTTCCATTCGTATCTTTGGGCATACGTTATTACGAGGCCGAGAAGGATTTTTAGTAAAAATTAAAGCACGTGCTAATTATGTTATTGAGTTTCCCATGAGTTAGTGGGTAGAGCTATGGGACTTTAATCGGAAGTTTCAGCTTTGATACCCGCTTCAGACAACGTAATGTCAAGCAGTGGCGACATCATAGAAATATAATAGCAATACGTTTTCACGTGCAAATAGCCGTCGTCCAGCTATAATATTAAAAAATTTATCCCTATGATTCATCACATAGATATAGGACAACCCTTTGGGTTGCCTTAGCGAGGTAATTAAAAAAATCATCACATCAGTTTATAGGGCCTTAGTTCTGAAAGATGTTCAAATTAATTTACAAAAAACTTATGCTACAGATGCAACTTGTGAAATTAACTTATTAACCTATTAACCCAGTGGTTACCAAACTTTTCCTAACTTGCGCTTCTGTTTTTTTTTAAAACATTGTTACGCTTCCCTTAATTTTTGTAACAGTTTAATGTCATTTACCAGGATACAAATGAACTCTTCAGCTTTTTATATAATTCAAAGCCATTCGTTTTTGGCATTGTAATATCAAGCAATATCATGTCAGATTGCTGGCTTTTAAATGTACATAATATTTAATTATTTATTCATTAATTTCTTATATCATTTCAACATTTTTGGTTTATTATCTAAAATAATGTTTTGGAAACAACTGTAGATTCCCTCTCCCCACTTGTAAAATTAATTATTAACCCTTTCCCTCCGAGAATATTTTCCGCAGCAAAGACTCTGCTGTACAGGCCACCCAACCACCCAAGTAATTTTACACAGTATATTTTAGGATTTTCTAATTTTTATTAATATAAATATATTGAACAATTACACTTTTAAAAACCTAGAAATTACAATAACAAACTAGTAGTGTATGGCATCGTGCTTTAAGGTAAATTGGTTGAACTACCCGTACCGTAATGAAATGTTGAAGAATATTAAATGTTTTGAAATAGATTATTATAAATACTATAACATTGTCTAATATTTATAAGAATTATATAAACTGAATTGCAAAGTTAAATTTATTTATTTAAAGTATATAAGTGAGCTTTAAAACCTCAACCAAATCTGAATTATTTTCAATATACAAAAAAATGACATTTTTTTTCTTTGAAGCAACAGTTTTGTCAACACAAGCAGAAAGTTTTATGAATCATTCAATTCGGATGCTTATTTCTCTCAAACTGCCATTTTTGTATATTTAGCTCTGCATCTTCGAAATGGCTGGGCCTGCCTTTGCCAAAAACTTATAACCATTTCTCCCAATCATTGAATGTTTTTTAGATCATTCAAATCGGCTGCTCCGTTCTCTCAAAAACTTGATTTCTATTTTCTACATTCTTTGCTCTTTATCTCCGTAACGGCTGGATATGCCTTTGCCAAAAACTAATCAGCACATCTTCCTATCAATAGGAATCAAATGTTTTTTGAACCATTCAAATCGGTTGATTCGTGCGCCCAAAAACGTGAACGAAAAAATGCGGACACACAAAACACATACACAAATCCATTTTTTCTGAAGCATGCTAAAATGTTCAGAAACCTTCAAAAAGTGAAGATATGCAAAAATTTTCTATAATTCCATTACTATAACTCACCCTACAGGAGGTTAATTATAATTCTTAATACAATAACGCAATGTGATAAATATAATATTAAAGCAATGATCTAAACACTGGATGTCGTCCATGAGCGACACTCGTACACACAGGACGTCAAGCGATTGTCGCCTATAGGCGACGCTCGTAACGAAAGGAATAAATTCGTTTTTAAATAATTTTTTTGATTGTATATTTTCTAAATCTGAAAAACTTTAGAAGAATCCTAAATTTTCAAATCTGTTTTGGCAAACTTCCAAATGTAAAATATTCCATGAACGACTTTAGCATAAATATTTTTAATAGTTTTGTTTCTTAAAATAACAAATAAATAACTACGTATATGTATAGTGTTATTTTTATTTCAAATATTTATTCGTCGAGTTTCTTATCAATGGTGATTGTTATTCTTTTCATTTGTTTAATTATAACGTCCGTCGCAATTCCTACCAATTAAAGCAGCCATGACCGTAGAACTTATTGCATGTTTCGCGTTTGATTAACTCTCTTGTTGTATAAAAATGTTCTTTAACTCGAGCAAGGTGGTTGATCTTTCATGTAAGTAATATAATAAATCACTATTCACACAATATTCATTCTACTGGTACTGGTTTTTGTAATTGTAATATAATATAATCAAGATTATTCAAACTCATTTCCTGAAGAACATTTAATTACTCAATGACCTCGGAAATAGACTGATATTTTTTCCAATTCTGATCGCACAGCAAATTCAGAGCATTTTGACAGTTTTTACTATCAATTCATACGAACAATTCAACATTTTTATTTTTTCTGAGAATTGGTCCTTTTGTTTTAAAATAAAACAATTTATTGCACCAATGGCGAAATACTGGCTAAAATAGGTAGGACAGAGCGGGGCTTAAAGGTCCGCAGCTAATAATCACCACCACTAATTTTTTAAAAACAAGTAAAGTTAGAAATTTTATGATAATATTCAAAACAAGAGAAAAAAATATGTCTAATCAACCATCGCCTTAAATCAAGCAACGTTGCTATCATGAGATAAACGTCCAACGCTGAAAATCTATAACATAAGTATTTTCTTTCGTAGTTAGTTTTTTTGGTTGTGAGCACTGTTGTTTAGTTTGCGAGACAAATCTATAACATAAGTATTTTCTTTCGTAGTTAGTTTTTTTGGTTGTGAGCACTGTTGTTTAGTTTGCGAGACATTAATACAGCGGTTTCCAACCTGTGGGGAGCGTCAGGCTGTTCTAAGGGGAGGCGCTTACTCATGTTTCTAGAATATTATTTTTGAAAATAACCCAACATTTTTCAAATAATATTAATAATAAATAAAAATTAATTAGTTTTATGCATATTTTTACATAATATTGCATATTAATTTGTATTCTGATAAAATCAGTAGAGTAATTATAAAATTAAATTGTTGTTGAAATTAAGGGGACGCAACATTTTTTTTTATTAGAGCAGAGGGACGCTGAGCAAAAAAGGTTGGAAACCACTGCATTAATATAGTATTTAAGTATCCAGTTATTAACTTCCCGTAGGGTAGTTATAGTAATGGGCCGAAAATCGAAAATGACAATTTTTGCATTTCTCCTTGTTTTGAAGGTTTCTGAACATTTTGGAATTCCTCAGAAAAAATTGATGTGTGTGTGTTTTGTGTGTTCGCATTTTTTCATTTACGTTTTCGGACGCACGGATTAACCGATTTAAATGGTTTAAAAAACACTCGATTCCTATTGATAGGGATATGTGCCGATTAGTTTTTGGCGATGGCAGGTCCAACCGTTACGGATATACGGAGCAAAGAGTACAGAAAATGGAAATCGAGTTTTTGAGAGAACGGAGTATCCGATTTGAATGATCTAAAAAGCATCTAATTTGTTATGATTGGGAGAAGTGGTGTTTAGTTTTTGGCAAAGGCAGGTCCAACCGTTTTGGAGATACCGAACTAATTGTGCAGAAAATAGCAGTTTTTGAGAGAATTAAGCATCCGATTTATATGATTCAAAAAACTTTCTGCTTGTTCTGACAAAATAATTGCTCTCGAATTTTTTTTTATTTCAAGTTTTTTTTTAAATTTTTTGTATGTCGAAAATAATTCAGATTTTAATTTTAATTTTGGCTAAAGTTCTAAAGCTCACTTATAAACTTTAAATAAATAATTTTAACTTTGTAAATTGGCTTATAAATATTAGACAATGTTATAGAAATTATAATGATCTATTTCAAAACATTTAATATTCCTCGAAAATTTTGTTAAGGTACAAAAAGTTCCAGCAATTTGCCTTAAGGCACGATGCCATACACAACTAGTTTTAAGTTAGATTCAACGGTTTTTTTAATGTAACCTTTATAAAAGCTTACCTTGACTAAAAAGGATCAACTAATACTTTAACCTGGCACAGTTATAAAATGGGCATAAACAATAAGAAAATAGTAAATAAAGAAGTAAATAGAGTTAAAATAGCAATTTTATTTCAACTCTCTTGATGAATATTTTTGATGGAATGCCAGATCAAGGTTATATACAGTGTTATCTTTATAAAAAATTATATTTTGTATTGGTTGATTAATGTAGCTATTATTTCTGAATTTAAAATTAAGACATTAGATCTGTTTGCCCTCTTGCTGTCCTTCTTTACCGATGGGGTTTATTTTTATTTAGGGTTTTATGATTATTTTTTTTAGAAAACCTGTAGAAACCACATTTTTATAATTTGGAATTAATTTGGAATTAATTTGGAATTTTATTGAGCATAGTTCAATAGTTGCTTGGTGATTCGCGTTATGTGTTGCAAAGTAGTTCATTTAGATTTAGACAGCATAATTACAAAGTCAAATGGATGGACCTTTGTGCCCCGCCCTACTTTATTATTATTTCAGCTATTCTATTTCCACATTGTAATTTCATAACTCAATATTTTTTATATATCATTATTAATTTGGTGCATAAATATTAATTTCTCATGCGGTATATTTTTATTATATTTGCAGAAATACAGAAAACAAACATTCCTGCCCGCAGACCGGGTTAGCGCAATTATAAGAGAATAATAAATACACTGAGCAATTCAGAAGACAAACAAGAAAGATGATGACCAAAGAAAAAAGACATTCGTTGAGACTGCAACAATTATTTTGTTTAGTTATTCTGCTTTTTATAAATCGGACGCATGGCGCCAGCAGTAGAGGTAAGAGATATTTTATTTCTATAATAATATTTTAAATTCTTTTTTCTGGTTTCCTGATGGTTGTTTGTGGATGACCATGTAATTGTATCTACAATTTTATCGATATTTGCAACATGATCGCAGTTGATATGAAGCCGGAACCTGATATCGACAGATAATATAACAAAACATATGTATCTATCAGTTTATTGCCAAGACCATATGGCAAAATACATAGTTTAAATTTATAACATTATAGCATTTACATACATATATATGTAGGGTAGAGCGGGCCTTAAAGTGCTGCTGGTAAATAGTTTCACCACCGATATCTCAAAAACAAGTAAAGTTGAGGTTTTTTAACAACTGGGATGAATTAGCTGGGAGTTTTACTGGACATAGTTATGATATGATTGCTTTGGTTTTCACAATATATTTGTTTAAAGCCAAATTGGACCTTTGTGTCCGGCACTACCCCATGTATATTTAAAAACACCGAGGTATTTATATAAATTTTAATTCTGATTCTCTATGTTTTTATAGATCCTTACCAAAACAAAAACGAAAGTTGTGCCACTATATAAACTATTAAATATATTGATAACGTAGATTACGTTTGCTCATCTTTCAAAATTTACATTGAAAAAATTAACAACTTGTATGCATTATTATTGTACTGGTATTTGCAACTTCTTGATGAGCGTTTTAATTATATTATTTTGCATAAAAATCGCAAACAGTATTTTTTACAATATTTGGGTATGTAAGCTGAGTCTATTGTCCATTTTTAGTATTTCGAAAAATTTATTTCTCGCTAGTTTTCCTACGTATTCATTTAACAAGAGAGTGTTAGTTATGGTCTTAAAACTAAAATTTATGTTTTCAAGTTACATATAAATCAATATCAAAAATTTAAAAGTAATAGTTGTAGTTACTGGTGTCATAACTTGAAATAATGCAATCTTGAAGAAAACATTCATAGTTTTGATAAAATTCTATCAAGATTTTTGGCGTTTCATCATGTTTTCAACTATAAGTTTTCGAAATTGAGTTTTGGTGTCTAATTCTTTTTAGCAATAGATAATTAGAGAAGTATTACAATGCAGAGTCTTTCAACTCTTTTTACTAGGTTGTTATTACTTGGAATAATCTAATTTGGAAGAAAAAAATCATAGTTAATAGATTTTATAGGAGATGTCTTGATTTCAATGTTTCAAGGCTTTGAAATTGAATTTTGTGTCTATTTCCCTTTAGGAATTAGACAATAAACAATAGTGCAAAATAATAGTGTATTAGCGTATTGTTCTACTATGTTCTTTATTACTTGGAATAATCCAATATGAAAGAAAAAAAATTGTTTTCTTCGAAGCTTTTGCCTGATACCTCGCCAGTTTCCTTTTTTCAAATTTAGGACAAATTGTTAGTGAAATAATAGAGTTAAAAGTCTTTTAGCTGCACTTATTGTTCTACTTGGCCATTTATTACTTGGAATAATCTGATCTGGAAGAAACAAATTAAGAGTTTCCTTTAGTTCCCTTTTTTCAAATTAGTACAAATTAGTATCAAAATCTAAAAGCAATAGATATTTAGTGAAATAAAAGTGCAGTCTTTTAGCATATTATTCTACTAGGTCTTTTCTTACTTGGAATAATTGATTATTAAGATATTGGACGATTTGTCCTGATTTCAAATTTAGTACAAAATTCTAAAAATAATAGTTAGTGAAATAATAGTGCAGAGTCTTTTAGCTACATTTATTATTCTACCAGGTCTTTTATTACTTGGAATAATCCAACCCAAAATAAAGATTGTTTTTTTCGATTACTAAGATTTTGGACGATTTGTCTTGATTTCAATAGAAAGGTTTCGAAATTGACTTTTTGTGTTTAATTTCCCAGCATTTCCTACTCTCACGAGGACCAAGAATAGGTACTGTAGTTGTCATCAACAGTTTATTTTGCTCCATTTTTTAAATGCGGTGATGATCGTATTGAAGAATGAATCCAACATTTGAAGTATTGTACCATTAAATGGTCTTATTAAAATCGAAATTGTCAAAGAACTTATGAAGGGCAAAATATGAATGTCAATTTGTCTTATTTGATTTATAAATGTAAATCTATCATAATGATGGAAACTAGGATAGGGCTAGATTTTGCTTAATGTTTTAAATCCGGTGATGATCGTATGAAGAATGAATCCAACTTCTGAAGTATTGTATCATTACATGGTCTTAATAAAATCGAAATTGTCAAAGAACTTATGAAGGATAAAATATGAATGTCAATTTATCTGATTTGACAGATAAATGTAAATCTATCATAATGATGGAAACTAGTATAGGGCTTGATAGGGCTAGATTTTGCTTCAAATTTTAAATGCGGTGATGATCGTATTGAAGAATGAATACAACTTCTGAAGTATTGTATCACTAAATGGTCTTAATATAATCGAAATTGTCAAAGAACTTATGAAGGCAAAATATGAATGCCAATTTATCTGATTTGATAGATAAATGTAAATCTGTCATAATGATGGAAACTAGAATAGGGCTAGATAGGGCTAGATTTTGCTTAATTTTTTAAATCCGGTGATGATCGTATTGAAGGATGAATCCAACTTCTGAAGTATTGTAATATTAAATGGTCTTATTAAAATCGAAATTGTTAAAGAACTTGTGAAGGCAAAATATGAATGCCAATTTATCTGATTTGATAGATAAATGTAAATCTATCATAATGATGGAAACTAGGATAGGGCTAGATATTATTAGAACTCTAGAAGGATGTTTAAGCTTGAAGAGTAAATACTGCACACAAAAACATTTAGATCTGATGTTTGATTTTGTGCAAATTTCTTGCTTCTGTTATAGATATATAAATAAATCGTCCGATATAATCGGACTATGTACATAGAAAGTTCAGTCTATGCATCCACTATCCTCCTGGTTATATATAACGTGTTGACACTGTGCTTAATGAGGCGGTTCTCAATAAGTGCAGACAGTAGAACTCATTAACACATGTGGTTAAGGCATTCCACTGTTTATTTTGGTACTCGAACCTCGAAATATATAAATGTGTTTTTTTCTGTTTTTCGACTCGTCACATTTCTTTTCGGTTTCGTTTTTTCCATTTTCAAACGTCTGTCTGACTGTTTGTTTTTTTTCCTTTGCTGATGTTGTCGCAGAATGATTAATTACTGCAAAGGGGGCCAAAAGGGCGGGTTTTCAACGAAAATACTCGCGCAGGACATGCAGAAGAACATGTAAGTATATATATATATATATATATATATATATATATATATATATATATATTAATTGTTTAATATGAACAAAACAGCACTCAGATTTGTTTAACACAACTTTATTTTATGATTACAGACGTTTCGAGACTATGGTGTGTCTCATCTTCAGTGTAATTTCAAAAACAGTTACTTATATACTACACATTCTTTAATACTTTATTTGAATTTCATTTAATTTTTGATATACAAAAAACACCAACTATTCCTTGCAATGCTTGACACAGTACTAAAGAAACATATAACACTTACAGAAATATTCTAAACAAATTTGAAGTACTTTCTAGATGGAAAATAATCTTGACAATAATTTTAACCAATTATCAAAAAGACTTTTCAAAAAACACAGTATTCGTATTACTTTTTCTCCATTAAAACAATTAAAATTTTTATATTCCAAAATTAAAGATGAAACCCCATTAACAAAAAAGAAAGATATAGTTTATAAAGTAAATTGTGTGGATTGTAATTGCTCTTATATTGGCCAGACCTGCCAGAACTTAGAAAAGAGACTCAGGCAACATGAATTACAATGTGAAAAAATAGATAACAAAAAATTTAAAAGTACACTTGTGGATCATGCTAATATCAACAACCATAAGTTTGATTTTGACAATCCCCAAATTTTATTCCATGAGAAAGACTTATTTAAACGGAGCATGGCAGAATCAATGTTAATAGTTCGGACTAACAATAGCATAAATCTAAGAACCGACACAAATATTTTACATGACACTTATATAAACATCATTAATAATTTATAAATTTTTTCATTTATCTTATTCTTTTCAATAAATTAATTTGTTTTTTCATTTTTATCGATTTTTGTATGCGATAGCACTCCTTTTGTTTACATTATAATGATACCCTCTCTGTCTCCATCTAGAAAGTACTTCAAATTTGTTTAGAATATTTCTGTAAGTGTTATATGTTTCTTTAGTACTGTGTCAAGCATTGCAAGGAATAGTTGGTGTTTTTTGTATATCAAAAATTAAATGAAATTCAAATAAAGTATTAAAGAATGTGTAGTATATAAGTAACTGTTTTTGAAATTACACTGAAGATGAGACACACCATGGTCTCGAAACGTCTGTAATCATAAAATAAAGTTGTGTTAAACAAATCTGAGTGCTGTTTTGTTCATATTAAACAATTAATATATATATATATATATATATATATATATATATATATATATATATGGGTAAGCGCGCAGACAAAGCATGCGTTCGAATATTTGAGATCTCTATCAGTAGTCAGGTGGACAGGTTACGGCCCGCGGACGGTAAAATGGACTAAATTCGAGTGGGATCGGTTTTGTAGTATTATTTACATATATATTGCAAATTCTGATGATATCTTTCCAACAGTATATGAATTCAATGCATCACATTGGAAAAAAGAACTACGTCACATTGCTATTAAAATGCAACATATATCAGTGTTATACTCTGTAATATCATCACACGTATAATACATACATTAATCTACTTAAGAATTTTTTACTTTACCCGAATATTTCTATTGCTACATTACTACCACTGCTTTAATTTGTTATTTTTAGTTTGAAAAAATAATGTGATTGAGTGGAGTCTAGCTATAGATGATACTTTGAAATATTTTTCAAATCAATAACAATTCATTAATTATCTTTAGACTAATTTATTATTGGATTTATTAAAATGCATTTTTTCATATTAATATGAAATTATAAT